TCAGTGAGGAGACGATGGTAATCTAATGATTCCTTGCTTATGCAGTTGCTCTACTTCCTCCTCAAAATGGGATTGCAGGTGGAGAGGTTTGGGATATATCTTGGGCTTCAAACGCTCGGTAGTTCTGAGGGAGATGCCATGTTCAATAAGAGAGGTACAACCTGGAGTTTCCGAAAACACACCAGAAAATTCTGATATTAGTTTGTGGATGTCATTCTGTTGATCAAGTGTTAGTTTTCAGTTAATTTCAGCACCTGAAGTGTCAACAGATAGTAGAGAATCTACTCTACCATCAGGTGTAACGGGATGTATTCTACATCCACACATGACTGAGCAACATCACTGTTACCCGGAATGCTTTCTAGAACCTGAGCTTCATCCATTACTGGGCCTGTGATTCGCTCGTCGATGATCCCTTTTCAGAAGATTTGCATGATAAAGCCTGGGCTAACCTCTTTCCATAATCAAGTAGTTTACCTTATTTCTTCTCTCCAATACCGTATGGGGACCACTCCAAGTCATTGGAAGTTTATTAGCAGTATCTGGCAATAATACTAAGACTTCGTCACCTGGACTGAAAGAACGATCTTGAGATTTAAATCAAAATAAGACCGATACCTGGGTGAGCCGATGTCGGCATTATGAGCGGCTATCTTCGCACATTCCTCGAGTTTATCCCTGAGCTCTATGACACACTGAAAGGTAGTTCGCTCGTCATCCCTGCTCCTCCTATCTCCCCATAGATCTCCCAGCACTATCAGAGGACCTCGCACAGCGCGACCATGCAGGAGTTCGAAGGCAGAAAACCCAGTCCTGTCGCTCGGAATTTCCCTGAGGGCAAGTAAAGAAGGGGTAAGATATCGGTGCCACTCTTTGGGCTTGTCCGCACACAGCTTTCTCAGGGATGCTTTCAGAGTACTATGAAATCCTTCAACTCTTCCATTTCCACTAGGATGATAAGGGGTGGTGAAGAGAGGCGTAATACCCAACAACTTATGAAGTTCACCCATTAATTGTGAAGTGAACTGCCTGCCTCTGTCGGAAAGAATTTCCTTGGCGATTCCTACTCTGGAAAATATGACGAGCAAAGTTTCCGCCACAGATACGGAGTCTATTTCGCTTGGCGGAATTGCTTCAGGGAAGCCCGTCGCGAAGTCTATAAGGGTTAAAATATATTTGTGTCCATCATCAGAGGGAGGATTCAGCGGGCCTACTATGTCTATTGCAACACGGGAAAATGGCTCCATAATCATGGGCTTGAGGGGGACGGGTTTCACTCTCCCTCTGTGTGGCATTCGTTGGCATTTATCACAAGACCGACAAAAACTCTTACGTCACTTCCCATACTTGGCCAATAAAACTGGTCCGTTACTGTTCGTCTTCTTTGTTTGCTTGGTGTTCCTCTATGTTACTTGAGGGCGAAGAAAACACCGATTAAAACTAAAGTAGGTTCATTTGAAATCAGCTCTGACAAAAATAACACGGAACTCTTCATGTTCCTCTGCCCCACACGCCAGGCTCCGTCTCTCTGTGTACTGTCAGACGTGTGACTACAGAGACAAAATAAAATGTTGTACTCTATAAATCGAACAGAGAATATTCTTTCACATAAGTGATATGCTACATAGCAATATAAACTAAACATAAACTTCTATATTTCACTTGGTATAACAAATCACATAAAAGTGTATATAATATAATCACATAATTATCACAATATGCGTACGATAATACTGGCATTACAATCCACATGCATTGGCATCACAACATGGCACTCACAACTCACATTATTATCACAACTCACTTCACTATCACAACCCACAGTTACCCTTTTCAAAGTATTATGAAATAATGAAAAGTGGCCAGCGAGGGGAGACTCGTGAGCTATTTCGGTAGTCGGCCGGTACGACTAAAGACATCTTCCCGATCCTATCCTGAAATCCCATCGTTTTCAATGTTCTTAACCATCATACCATCGCGGGTCACGTGTGGTTCTCTCGCTTTGACCTTCTCCCTGACAGACGACAATGAGGGACAGCGGCTTTGCAGCTTCGCAAATTCCGTTGGTGTGATATTCAAAGGTTTTAGTTTAGGCAGAACGAGAGGATGAATTCTCTTGTTCTTGCACGCCCTCGTCTGTATAGCCTGAACCTGCATCAGCATTATCAGAATTAGTCCCGTATCCCTGGAATATTACCGATTAGTACACTACAAAATTTGAGGGGTGCTCGTAGGGCGTTCGTCCATCCACCAAAGTAGGGGCATGTGATGCAACAGCGCACCTGAGGGAAATACTCTACTCGCCCCAAATAATCGCAAACTTTGATTAATGTTCTCTTACTGGCATCAATGTCGGGCAGTGGGGAAAGGGAGGATTTAAACTGATCAAGTATCATAAAGCTTCTTAATTGAATCGTAAGACTTCTCGAGGCTGCTACTATCTATCCACTGATCAAAAAGCGAGATTAATTGAAAATTGCTTATAGGTTTCTCCGACCTTGATTTTAGCAGTTCTAAAGTCTTGTCTATAGCCATTAGGGGTCTTACTAAACCCATTAAGAAGAGCTCTTTTCAACTGTTTATAATCCGCAGTTATTTCGGGAGACAAAGAGGTGTATATCTCTGCTGCTTTACCGGTAAGTAAGCTTCCCAAACGCACAGCATAACTGTCTTCACTAACATCTAAAAGACTGGCAACTCGTTCGGAGCGAATGAGGTAGGAAGCAAAGTCTTCACCTTCTTGATAAACTGGCAAATTAGGTCTTATGCACCGCTTATATTAACGGGAGATAAAGAATTATTCCTCTTATTCCCGGCATTAATTTCAGCTAGTTCTAATTCGTGGGCTAACCTCACCCTCTCCCTTTCTGCTTCTATTCTAGCCCTTTCGTTCTCCTCAGCTTTACCTCTTTCCGCGCCTAATTCCTTCAACTTTGATTCTCTTTTCCTATTTCGCTCCTCCCTTGCAATTGCTTGCTGATTCAGAATATACTCAGGTATGTCATCGCCTTTTGAACCTAAGGCTTCAGCTTGCTCTTTGAGGTCATTGATAGAAGTATCGAAGTCAGGCATGGTACAATTGCGTGCACTTCGTATACAAGATAAATATCACAGCCTGTAGCTGATGAATACTAGTAGAATACTACTAGAGGGACGGAACCCGCACCGAGCAGCAATTCTAGAAGGCGTAATACTACTCTCACTGACACAGGGACACTGAATCAGAAGCCGGTCCCACGGGCAAGACTCAAGAGGGCGGGCAGCTCCCTCTTCCTCCCGTTGCGCAGGACACTGGCACTTGTCTCCGGGCCCCAAGGACGACAAGCGAGGATGTTATCCTATCATAACCAAACCCAAAACCTCAGAAATACGATATCCTGGCAAGGTCGCCACTTGTGAATATTTATTTTTTTTTTTTTAGTCAAAGGATGTCTTCATTCCGGAGGGTTTGAGTTTAAACAAAGTTAATAAACCATTTATTGTTTTACCAAAAGATTTTCGGAGACAGAACAATAATAATAAGAATGATGAAAATAATAGTAAAAGTAAAAAAAAAACTTCTGTTAATACTTAAAAATATATCGAACACCCAAACAAATGTATATGCAATAATAACTTTAAAATAAATTATATCCCAGAATAGCTAACAACGCCGAAACCCCTACCGAACCGCATGCACCTAAACAACGCTGGTATCTTCCTAAAAAAAAAAGAGAAAAACATCTTGTCACAAGAACCAAGGCCGGTTCGTTTCTAACGACGCTGTAACTTCTAACAACGCCGAAATCCCTACAACGTTAAAGCAAAACTTTCTTAAAATCTCAGAGTAAAGTCTAACTGGAAGACCTCCCGCTGGGGAATCGGTCTCGCTAAAGGGAAGGGAAAGCGAGCCTCACAGAAGCGCCTCTGGCCCGGGGTCAGGCGAGGGTTTGAACAACGACAGATTGCTCCAATTATAAGTCTGGCTGCCACAGTGCTGGTCTTTCTTTTCTACGATTATTGCCAATTTTCTTTTTGGAAATACACCGACAGTAAAAATATCTTAATAATAATAATAAATTAATAAGCATCCTACCTGTTAGTCGATTTACTGAAGCCCCCGGCAAAAAAAATATATATGCACATTTATAATTTTCTTCTGTCACTTACATGCTATATTTTGCGCGAGAAGGGGTTCAAAATGAGTATGAACTATAGAACCAATGATTCTAAACAAAGTGTTGAACAACTTCAGTTCCTCGGCACACACGCACATACGCACAGTCATCCCTGTATTCACTGCAGCCCTACTACAGTTTGCCTTCAGATAATGTTCTAAAATGATAACAGCACATTTCCTTTTTCATGAATCAAGTTTGGTTCTGACGAAAAGAAAATAATTAATTTTATTGATTTAAAGATACACCAAGATAATGTGTGAAAACTTTGATTTTGCGACACAACATAAGTATGCCATCTGCACACGGACATGCGTCGACGAACAGATGTAAAGTAAAGCGCAAGTGTAGTGAACGCGAGAACGAGCGCAGCGCCGTAACGCCCGTTAAGACACAGACCAACGATTTGCGTATGCAAACGAGCCCGCACTGTCTTGGAAGTGGCGGTAATTGCCCGTGTATAGACCCTCGTTCTGCCAAGACAAAGCAGCGAGGGAGAGAGAGCGAGCACGGCTGTTTCCACGGCTGGCCAGTCCTGCCCTGTCCAGCGGCAATTCTGTAAGCATGTGGGAAAAATCTCCGAGATGTATATTTTATTTCTGATTTGAGTACGAGTGTTGCGTTTGTAAATACACCGTGTACCTTGACTTTATTATTTTTTTCTTTTTTACGACTATATCAAATAATTCCAATTGTAACCTGGAGCCTCCTAGAAAAGATGAACAGTAAATATCGGTTTAATGATAATTAAGTAAATATTAAATAAGCTAATACTAATGGCAATGGAATGTTAATCACGTCGTCATAATCAAGATAATTAGCAATAACGAATAAAGATAACGA